CTCATAGGTAAAATTATCAGTCACTAAGAAGGAATTTTTTAAATATGGGATTTAGAGGTCTCTTTTGCTCAGTTCTCAGTATAGTGGAATAGAGGCGTGGAAAATGATGATTCTAAATAGTCATGCAGCTCAAACAGGAGTACATGCCTAGGGAAAAATTTTGCTGGTGTCCTTTTGTCCTGGTTTGGTTTAGCATTTCTAAGGGGAGCTGGATAGCGCCACAACACGGGTACTCTGGAAATGCATTCCAGTTATGCCTTTGCTGGAGCCTTTCCTGGGACACACTAGGGCCATATAATATAACCTATATTGTAATTTTACTTGAGGAATTCACTAGGCAGATTGCATAAATCAGGATTCTTTTCAACATGGCGTAGTCATTTTTACATAACAGGTCATTTGTTTCTGAACAGCTTCCTAGCCTGATATAGAATCTGTTTAGATTCTGCATTATATTTTCCCTTATTAAAACAGGGAAATTTTGAAAAGACACTTATTTGTTGCTTGCTATATTGGCTGTATGCATACTCATAAATGAATGCCAAATTGCTGATGATTAATGAACAACTGGCCAGTTGCCTAGTTCAGAAGAGGTGCATAGGTCTGGGGGAATGAAGTACATATATTTTGTTTAGGCAGACAAGAATTTAAGGCCAGAGAAGTTGGCTAAAAATGAGAGGACCAGTTAGTTCCAGAGATCAAAACAGTTAAGATCTAGGGACAGTCATAGTCATTGCCAATAATAGTTATAGTCAGATAGACTCAAAGGTTCCCAGCTGCCCTCTTGTTGATTTAGCTCAATCTCTGAGCCCCTAGGTGTTCATTATGAAGCTCATCAGATGGCCTGCAGGTTACCTTTGCCCTAATGGAGATGTTGACCTCTCAGGATGGGGAGAATTGGTTAAGTGAAGAGCTGCTCTCCTGGGCCGTGTGTTTCCCAGCAAACCAGGAGCTGGATAATAAATATTTCTTGAAGAAGCGTTCTCTTCTATGATATGCTCCACCCCTGCATTGAGTACTCTTCTATATAAAGTCTTTTCATATGTATGCATCCTTTATTGTTTTGTTTTATTTTATTGAAACAGGGTCCTGCTCTGTTTTCCAGGCTGGAGAGCAGAGGCGTGATCACAGCTCACTGCAGCCTCAACCTTCTAGGCTCAAACGACCTTCCCACCTCAGCTTCCTGAGTAAGCTGGGTCTACAGGCACATGCCACCACTCCCAGCAAAATTTTTAAATTTTTTTGTAGGGATAGAGTTTTGCCATGTTGCCCAGGCTGATCTCGAACTCCTGGGCTCAAGCAATCTTCCCATCTTGGCCTCCAAGAGTGCTGGGATTACAGGATTACAGATGTGAGCCCATCCTATTTTTTTTTTAATTTATACTTCTTGTGTGGCTAAAAAAATTATTTCAGTGGATAGGGGTGGAGACATGCTAATAAACTAGCTGTACTGCAGTACTGTGATGACTGTGTGTGTTTATTGTTTTGCATGTGCAGTATGCTAGGATTTGTTTGGTATGTATATAAATGTGCTCTACCTGGCCATGCACAATGTTCCTTCCCCTAATAGCAGGCCCCAAAGAGAAGATATCTTACCCCGAGTTAACAATGGCAATGCTCCTACATTGTGTGCTCCAAGCCCCACATTGCTAATTAGAAATGAAAAGCCTGTACTTTTCAGAAGGCTCATTTTATGCCAGCATGACACATTTATTAATACTCCATGCCATAACTCGTTAAGAACTGTTCTACCGCTCTTAATGGGCCTTGTGCTGAAACACATTCAGTGGCTGTTGTTGTAAACTGATATTTCCCCTTGGGCAGTAACCGCAATCCAATTTCAATTTCCCTTTTAACTCATTTACTTCACAAAGATCTAATTTAAGACAGATTAGGTAAAATATTATTGGACTTCATGGGCACCAAGTGGTTGTTGTTTAAGAAGCATTGTAAAAATCCAAAGCTTGCTGTCCTTTCCACTACATCTGGGCTTTGAAGGATCTAGCATTGGAGCATAGTGTTCAACAAGAGATGACAAATGTCCTTTTCTGGATTCCCACCAGCAGTTTAAGTTTAACAATGATTACAAAGGTTTAATCAGCCATGTGAAACATATATATATACACGTGTATATGTATATATGTGTATATATGTGTGTGTGTATATGTGTGTGTGTGTGTGTATATATATATATTTCAAAGTCAACCCATCACCAGTCATTCCTTTCCATTCTCCCATGTTCACTGTTCTCCTGAGAACAGGGGATAAAAGTAGGGGAGATAGTGCAGGGAAAAGCATTGTGTGATGCAGTTCTGCCTTGGGGCTGCTCTATGCTCCCCCCTGCTGACATAAGTATGGTGCTATCAAGCACTGTTGACCCTGGACTTGACAGACTTCAACATAAGGAAGCAGAATAACTAATTCAAGAGAGTTCTACAAGGATAAAATGTGAAATAATAAATAATAATAGGCTCTCCCCTTAAATTTATGGTTTGCTGCTTTGTTGCACTTAATCCTGGATGCTCTGTGAATTTTCTAAATCATAGAATTACAGTTATCGGTGCTGGAAAGGACCTGCGCGTGCCCATCAGGCAGCCCTCTCACTTATTTTATAGATGAGGAAAGTGAGATCTAGAGACATGCAGTGGCCCACCCAGGCCATATAGTTAGGTAGAGGCAGGTGAAGAAGGAGAACACAAATGTTTTAGCACATGACCTGAGAGATGATCTAGGGGTTCCACAAATCTGGTGAGCACAGATTCCTGGATTCCTCTGCACACTTATTTAATAGAATCCCTGGAAAAGGGATTTATGACTCTCTGTTTTTTAAAAAGCTACTCAGCCCAGGCCGAGCACAGTGGCTCACGCCTGTAATCCCAGCACTTTGGGAGGCTGAGGCAGGTGGATCACGAGGTCAGGAGATTGAGACCATCCTGGGTAACACGGTGAAACCCTGTCTCTACTAAAAATACAAAAATTAGCCAGTCGTGGTGGCAGCCATCTGTAGTCCCAGCTACCTGGGAGGCTGAGGCAGGACAATGGCATGAACTCGGGAGGCAGAGTTTGCAGTGAGCAGAGATCACGCCAGTGCACCCCAGCCTATCCAGCCTAGGCGGCAGAGCAGACTCCATCTCAAAAAAACAAAAAAACAGCTCCTCAGCTCCGGTGCAGTGACTCACAGCTGTAATCATAATCCCAGCACTTTGGGAGGTCAATGCAGGAGGATTGCATGAGGCCAGGAGTTTGAGACCAGCCTGGACAACATAACAAGACCCTGTCTCTACAAAAAATAAAAATAAAAAATAAGACAAAATAGAAAGCTAGTCAGATGATTCTTATGCAGTCAGTCTGGCCTTAGGAACTAGTATTAGTGTATCCCCTGGGGCAGATCAGCTTTGCCGTCTGTTTTTGTATGGCCCACAAGCTAAGAGTAGTTTACATTCTTAAATGGTTGGATGTGTGAAAATGATATGAAATTTAAATATCTGTGCCCATAAAGTTTTACTGAAACACAGCCACTCTTGTTGGGTTGCATGTCGTCTATGGCTACTTTTATACCACAGTTACACGGGTAAGTTGTTTTAACAGATACTGTATGGCCTACAAAGCCTGCAGCATTGACTGCCTGCCCCCTTTCAGAAAAGGCTTGCTGGTGCCAGGTGTATTACTTATCTCTTTCTCCTGTAACCACTGCAAGCCCCAGTATTAAAAGGGAAATTCCTAAGCTTTGAGTACTTGTATTTGTCCAAAGACTATCTTGCTTGTCTTTTTTTTTTTTTTTTTTTTTGAGATGGAGTCTCGCTCTTTTGCCCAGGCTGGAGGGCAGGAGTGCGATCTTGGCTCACTGCAATGTCCGCCTTCTGGGTTCAAGCAATTCTGCCTCAGCCTTCAGGGTAGCCGGGACTACAGGCGCATGCCACCACATTCGGCTAATTTTTGTATTTTTAGTAGAGGTGGGGTTTCACCATATTGGTCAGGCTGGTCTTGAACTCCTGACCTCATGATCCACTCACCTTGACCTCCCAAAGTTCTGGGATTACAGGCGGACTATCTTACTTTTCAGATAAGATCCATTTGTGAAAAACTGCATGCAAAATATCTGTAAATCTAATTACTTCAATAATAAAACATGTTTTATTGTAGTACAATTTCCTACTAAAGTATGGGAGATTTATCTTCATTTCAGTTTAGTGTGCTAGATGTTTATTTTTGTTAATAGGAGAACTGTTTTTATACTTGATGAAGATATAAGGTGTAAATATTTAGAAAGGGGTGATGGTGAATGAATTTCATTTTAAGTGCAACATTCAGTACCCAAATTAATTAGGAAATTTCTATTTCACACATCAAATGTCCTTAGTAAAGCCTTCTGCTTACAAAATCATAGTTTTTGAATTCACTAAAGATGCTTAGTTTTTCACGGAATCATCAGTCTCCCACTTGACAGCTCATGACTGGTTCTAATTCAGAATCCTACTACCTCCTAGTTTTTCTTCAACCAAGGTATAACAGTTTCCATTTCCTAATGGCTTCCTTTTGTTTTTCTTCTTCTCCTTTCCCTCACCTAAAACAACATAAGCATTTGTTCATGAACCAGTCAACAGACATTTATTAAGCACCTGCTGTATGCCAAGCACTGCCGGCACTGATTTAGTGGTAGGAAATATCCTCTATGCTACCTCTAGACCTATATTTCCATCATGACCAAACCAAGAGACAAGAGAAATGGAAAGTATAGAGTACATTACTTTAAAAAATCCTACCGGGCACGGTGGCTCACGCCTGTAATCCCAGCACTTTGGGAGGCTGAGGCAGGCGGATCATCCAAGGTCAGGAGTTCAAGACAAACCTGGACAACATGGTGAAACACTGTCTCTACTAAAATTACAAAAAAATTAGCCGGGCACGGTGGCAGGCACCTGTAATCCCAAGTACTGAGGAGGCTGAAGCAGGAAAATTGCTTGAACCCGGGAGACGGAGGTTGCAGTGAGCCGAGATTGCGCCATTACACTCCAACCTGGGCAACGAAAGCAAAACTCTGTCTCAAAAAATAATAAAAAAATAAAAATCCTGTTGCCTGTCTCCTAACGAGAGGTTTTGTAGGTGATTTTGTAAAGGCCTGGCCTGGTGGTTTTTAGGTCTTGGGGCATGGGCCAATGCTTCTTTCATTGTTGCTTAGCTGCCCTATCCACCCTGGGCACTCAAATTTCTCATTCACCAGAGAATTCATCCCCCACACCAGCTTCATTCTCTGCCATGTTGTCACTAAATTGCCTCCCAATCTGGCACAGTAGAAGCTGTTGAGAGCCTCGAAGCTTGGCATAACATGCTGCTCTTTGTTGCATGACCTTTGATGGGTGGTGTTCTTCTCCTGAGCTTTTGTAAAATGTATAGAGGATAATAATTTCTCCTTCACCCATACCTCATGGGAACCTCATGAGGTTGAATGAGGAGGCTATTTAAAAGGCCATTTTCATAGAGGGAGTTGCTATAGAAACACAGAGGGGTACAAGTACTTCAGAGAAGGGGTTTGGGGGAAGCCCTGGCCTGTTTGTTTCTTTGAGAAGTCAAGATATGGAAGAGCCATAGCTCAGTCCTTGATGTGTTTGTTTCAGGTGAACCCTATGTCTCCTACTTCCCCTTACTTTTAGGATTAGGCTTTTTCTGCAGCATATCCCACCAGAACCAGTAGGCTCCAGTACAGGAAGAATTTCACTGCAGTACAATGTCAAACATTAGGGCTGGTATAGTGGGCATTTGTAGAATGAATCTAGCTTAATACTTTTCCACTGGGAAGAGAATGACATGACTGTGGTAGATTAGGAAAGGAAAGAATAGAAGATAAGAAAAGAACTTTTAAAAAGCATCCCCTAATAACTGTGTATTGGGAGTACATAGGCTGATCATTGTATTGGAACTGTGGAGGGAAGCATAAGATTGGTTCCTGCCCTCAAAGAACAAAAGCCTAATTGTAGGGGATGAAGGTTAAAAAAAAAAATGGTGGAAGCTTTTCATAAACGACTTTTCATAAATCAGGTTAAGAAAGACCTCTCTTGCTAGTTCGTTGAGTGCTTTTATTATGAAAGGTGTTGAATTTTGTCAAATGATTTTTTCTGCATCTATCAAGATGATCATGTGATTTTTCTCCTTTATTAATATGTTGCATTGCATTGGTTGATTTTCAAATGCTAAACTATCTTCGCATTTCTGGGATAAATCCCACTTTTTATATGCTATTGGATTTGGTTTGCTGGCATTTTTGTTAAGGCTGTCTGTGTCTATATTCATAAAGGATGTTAGTATAGAGTTTTCTTATGACGTCTTTGGTTTTGTATCAAGGTAATACTGGCCTTCAGAATGAGTTTAGAAATGTTCTATTCTCTTCTATTTTATGGGAGAGTTTGTTTAATTCTTTAAACGTTTGGTAGAATTCATCAGCAAAACCATCTGGTCCTGGGCTCTTCTTTGTGGGGGTTCATTTTTTGATGCAAGGTACAGAAGAGTATTTATGGAACAATCCCATGTGAGAGAGAGACTTTTTAAGGACATAGATATATGCTTTTATTTACACAGAAAATTTCTAGAAGGATATACAAAAAAACTGGTATCAAAGGTTATCATTGGGTAATGAGATGGAACTTGGTCTTATGTTCCTTTTTTCTTTTAAAAAAAAATCATGATCATGCATTGCTCCAAAATTTCAAAATAAAAAACTACTTAAAATGACTAGCATTTGGCCATTTGCTCTTTCACTCACAGGCGAGATGTTAGGACTGTGTGTCTGCCACTGGCCTGTCACCTTAGGAACTTCCAGTCTCGTAGGCCCTTGCATCTCTCTCCACGGCCTGCTCTCCCTCTTCCCTATTTTATTCTCCATCGACACGGAATTACTGGTCAATTCTCTGAAAAAAACCGCAGCTACATGCTACTATGCTTTCAGACGTGATTTTTGTTCCCTTACCTTTCCATCCCTTCCCCCTAAATCTGCCCAATTTTTCTTAATTCTTGTTTATCCTTTAAAGTCCCTTCCAAATATTAGTTACCTTCCTTTGTGCACTTTGCAGCTCACTCTCTTTTTTATTTCCCACCAAGGGGGAAAAAATCTCGCCCTCCTGCTGCCTCTCATACATTATGCATATTTTTGTTATTGAACTTTGTACTTACCCTGCATCATAATTACTAGCTCACATATGTGTCTTCCCTAAAAGTACAGTTTTATTCAGTGTTGTGTCCTGGTAATTAGCACAATGCTTGGCACAGAATAGATGCTCAAAAATATTTTAATTCAATTGAGTTCAGAAGACGGGGCATTCTGGGTAGAATGAGCCATATAAACAAAGGCCAACGTTATGAATTACAAGAACCTGTTCGGAGGACATGAGCTAGTTTGGCTAGATAGGAAAATTCATGCTGGGAAATATGATTTAATTATTTTGGCACGGCTGATATTGGGGGCTCTCGAAAGTCAGATAAAGCAGATTGAATAATGGTAAGTAAATATTGATTGAATGAAGAACATTTCTCACTTCCTTCCAGTCTTTGCTGAAATCTCTCTTTTCAGTAGGCTTAATCTGACCACCTCCTTTAAAACTGTTGCCTCTTCATTCACCCATCCCCTGACTCCAGCATTCTTGATCTTCCTCTCCCTGTTCTTTCTCCTTTTCCCACAGCACTCATCACCTTCTGTGTACCACAGTCTATATGATTTACTTATTCATTACAGTTTCTATTTATTGTGTGTCTTTCCCACTAGAATATAGACTCTTTGGGCCACGACTGTCTTGCTCACTGGCTGTTCCCAAGCACCTAGAACATTGTCTGGCACATAGTAGGTGTCCAATCAATATTTGTTGAGTGAATGAATCGTAAATTAATGAACTTCAGTATCGTGTACAGAGCTGGCATAGAAGCTTAGGTATGATTCAAATGGCCTGTTTCTGAAAGAAACAAGTTTATTCTGTAAAACTGCCAAGATTGTGCCAGCTATTTGTATTATAATCTGGGCAGGGCAGAGGGAGGGAGGTGGGGCAAAGGGAGATATATTATGTTAAGGTTGCTTGTTTAAAAACCAAGTTGGGAAGTAAAAATTATTAAAGACTTTTGAGTTTATGTATTCCTTACCTAGAAATCGTTGTTTCATGTGGTGACTCATACCCATGATTTAATAATTTCTCTCTTTTTCTTTCTCCACAGACCTTTGTAGTATTAAACAGAGGGAAAACTCTCTTCAGATTTAGTGCCACGCCTGCCTTGTACATTTTAAGTCCTTTTAACCTGATAAGAAGAATAGCTATTAAAATTTTGATACATTCATATCCTTTTCTGCAAATGTGGAGTGAGTGCAATTGCACGGTTGCTTGTTTACCTTTCTAATATTTGACAACTGCAGGATATGTTAAGTTTTTTACTGATAGTGTAGTTAACTAGCCCATCAGTCAGAAGTTTAAGAGTGAACTCCTGCCACATCCCAAGCTGAGCTTCAGAAAATTCTTATTTTTTTTCCTTAGGATGATATTGTGGGAGTCTGAAATTTTGTCGGTATCATTGTACGGACAAATTAAAACAACCTTTGTTGAAGTCTTAACTTTATTTAGTGCTCAGACTTCAGTGATTTCATTCTGTGGCCAACTATTCAGCTTAATATATTAGAGAGTTTTAAAAGTACTTCTTGAGTTACAAATAGTTGGATGAATGCTTTAGAAATCAGCTTTGAATTTTTTTTTTTTTTTTGAGATGGAGTCTCACTCTATTGCCCAGGCTGGAGTGCAGTGGCACGATCTCTGCTCACTGCAGGCTCCGCCTCCTGGGTTCACGCCATTCTCTTGCCTTAGCCTCCCGAGTAGCTGGGGCTACCGGTGCCTGCCACCACACCCTGCTACTTTTTTTGTATTTTTAGTAGAGACGGGGTTTCACTGTGTTGGCCAGGATGGTCTCGATCTCCTGACCTCGTGATCCACCCGCCTCAGCCTCCCAAAGTGCTGGGATTACAGACGTGAGCCACCGCGCCTGTCCAGCTTTGAATTTTTAAAAAATTTTTTGAGCAGTGAGCTTAGAAAGTGAGATAGTTCTCAGATGAAATAACCTCTTTGTTATAGAGGTTTAGATGCAGATTGTAGGATAAATAGAATTTTTTTCTGGTATTTTTACTCGCCTTAAATAAAAAAATGCCAGTTTATTCAAGTGGCCTGAGTTGCACGTTATTAACATAGGAGAGTGCATGTGGCAAATGAAAAAATATTTGATGGATTTAGTGATGTTGCATGGTGACTTGAAACTTCCGTGGCTGGTTGGTATTTAACAGCATGTAGTCCCATGCTTCAAAGATTATTGTGCCCTCCAAGTAGGATGAAGGAACCAGCCGTGGCACCTTGGTGAATTGGTTTAGTAAGCTTTTGCCACATTTTATTAACTCTTAAGAATTTAGCAACATGGTTGTGAAATCTGTAGTTTATAAGCAACACACTTCTGAAACCCAAAGGTTTATAAGGAAATAAATAATTCACAATGGACTTCTTCCTTTCTGTTGGATCAGAAGATGGAGTGTTTTTTCTCTTCTGGTTCCAAAAACCATGAAGACAAATCCAGCTGTAATGAAGAAAAAGAAATCCAGCTGTAAGAAATGTTTTCTCTTTTTAAAACTCCACTGGTAGAATAAAGATAGTGAATGCCATTAACAAGAGAGAGTGAATTAGTGGCAAGTGGGGTATGGCCCCCAGGCCTGTTACGTGACAATTAGAGTTTGAGTAACTTGTGCTGACCTAAAATGGTTTAATTTTTCTCAGAGACAAGAACAGAAAGGCCTGAGAAAAATTCTGGATGGAACTGAAATGGCAGTATGGTTTGCTATCCATAAACATTCCTGGACACTTTCAGAATGGATTTTGCTCTACTACCTAATCTTCAGAAGTGTGGTGGTGCAGATGTCCTTGAAATCTTTACCTAACATGCTGCAGTTGGTTTCCCACATTGGACATATTCAACACATATGGGCTGTATGGGCTGATACCTTGCCCCCAAAGACAATTCAGCCCTGTAGAAGGACTAGGGAAGGCTGGGTGTGGTGGCTCAGGCCTGTAATCCTAGCACTTTAGAAGGCTGAGGACGTAGGATCCTCAAGTGATCACTTGAGCCCAGGGGTTCAAGACCAGCCCGGACAACATAGAGAGACCTTGTCTCTTAAAAAAGAAGAACAACTATGGAAAAAAAGTGAACCATTGCAAGTAGATTTTCAAATAACTAGCTATGTAAGGTAATTAACTGACCAATAAATGAATACCTAGTTATATAGATTTAATTGATTTTCTTATCTGACAACTTTGGTTGAGAAAATGCAAAGGTATTGTACTAAGTGCAAAAAGTATTTAGAGGCTTAGTTCATAGTTGAGCTGAAAAGTGGTTAGAGGGGAGCATGTTTCATCCGAAGGGAGTAGAACAATGACAGCCTTTTTGAAAGAAGGAGAATATCCCTCCTGCCCCATCCATCCACAGTTCACAGTGGCATTCTGTGTTTATGGTGGTGACCACAGTTTTCATTGTCACCTTGTGTTTTTCTCTTCTGTGCTTTATCTCCTTTCAGGTTATTGATTTAGATCTGATACCCAATGGAAATGTGTGTGTTTTTTGAGAAAATAAAAGGCAGGCCAGATTTTGATATTGCCCCTTGACTCTTCTCTACAGTATTTAGCATGATCATTATGTGCACTATTTTGACCAACTGTGTATTCATGACTTTTAGTAACCCTCCTGACTGGTCGAAGAATGTGGAGTAAGTAACTCATTTATTTGTGTGCTTGTTTGTTTTAAAGATTTTTAGTCACTGAATCTTGCTTTGCCACAGTTTACCCATAAAGGAGAAAAAAAATTAGTTATTGCCTCTCTTTATTTCACAGAGAAGGCTGAAAATACGTGTGGAATTTAGGAAATAGCCCTCCCTAAAAGTCAACTCTAGGAAGACAGAGTATGCTCTGGAACTTACTGCCCTTCACCCTTTCCTGTGCCAGGCAGTGCCACTGCCCTGCAGCCCCATCACCATCTTGTAGCCTCAGTTCCTGGGGATGCTGTTTTCTCCAATTTTAGGTCTCCCTGTTTTTTGACTTCTCTAAAGTTAAAAACAGCTCTGGGGGCCTCCTTACTTGCTTCAAAATGATCATGTACTAGATAGCAGCACAGTTACTTCCTTGGAATACAATTCAGGACCCAATACAACATTCCAAAAGTCTTGGTTTGTGCATTTCAATAAGTTTCATTCAAAGCATTTCTTTCTCCTTGTCGCTTCCTTCCTGCTGCATTGGCTGTGCCCTTTCTGTTTTGTCTCTCTTAGTTGAAGCGACACTTCAGACAAGTCCTAACTTAAAAGGTTCATTTAAAGTTTCTGTCCAGAAATTACCTTAAGCTATTCATTTCTTTGACAGGTACACGTTCACAGGGATTTATACATTTGAATCACTAGTGAAAATCATTGCAAGAGGTTTCTGCATAGATGGCTTTACCTTTTTACGGGATCCATGGAACTGGTTAGATTTCAGTGTCATCATGATGGCGTAAGTTCTCCCCTTACTTTATTGGTGTTCTGGGTGTGATTCTGTGTGTAGAGTTGTACTCCTGGGTCTGTTTGTAAGTGTGCGTTTGTGGACACAGCTGTATGAGGAATTAATGGATGACAATGTAAGGCCCTATGGGCTTATGTTTATGCTTCTTGCCTGTGAGGGCCTCTTGTGGTTCAGGTGATGATGTGTTTATGTGGGATAAGGCAAGCAGAGGCTTTACAGCTGGGAGAGAAGGGAGGAGGTGATTTCCCATTGATACTCTCTCATATTTTATTCCTCCTTGTAATGTTGATCAAGGTTTGCACACCTATCATTACAAGGCCTCTGTGAAGACTTGAAATTTTTTAGTTGTAGACTTTCAGCTGAAAATGAGTTTCCTGGGTATGTCTTACTGTATGTAATTTAATGAGGCTGGCCAGGTGTTGCAGACTTCAGAGCACATTTTAGAGTCAAAACATGAGCCAAGGTATCCAAACTGGCACTTCCTGAAGAGTTACTAACCAGAATTTCGAACTATTGCTCAAGATCAGTGTAACTCCACATTGGTATGTTACTGCTCTTGCTCATTTGTGTTGTTTTAGCAATAAAAATATATCTTTGGGAAACTTAGCTGATGATAGATGAGTTATAGCAGGCTATTTATTATTCTTATTTCCAGGTTGGGAAAGCATTTTGTGGTTTGAGAGTATAGCAGGGGTGGTGTATAGGTTTTGCGTGTATGCATGATGTGTAAGAAAGAGTGCATTTGAATATGTATTGATCTGAGCATCTGGTGGAAAGATGTATTTCAACTGTAAAATGTGAATAAATGATATGCATTGAATACTTGACACTGAAACTGACTTTCTGTTATATAAAGGCAATGTCTTAACTTTCTAGCATTATGGATACACATTGGTGTTCATTTAAAATTTTTAGGTGTCCTTGCTAGGCATAGAGCTTGTAATTAAAATGAGCACTTAACACAATATTTGCTCTGATCCCATGATTTGGATTTTCCTGAGCCCTGCTTTTGTATGTCACAGGCCAAAACTTCATTTATAGACATGACTACCATCATATGATTACAACTCTTGAATAAGTCATATATACAGACATTTAGTCAATGTTGCCATTGTCAACTAGGGAGTTGCTTTAATATAGATTTGTTTTTGTGGGTGCTGCAGAAATTTGTCTCCCTCTCCTAAGAAATTGTTCACAAAACCTGGGGACATAAGTCTTTGATACCTCCTGGCCTTCCTTTTTACCAAAAAATGTGAATGGGCTGACAGTAAAGCTGTTCTGATTGGGATCAGCACATTACTATGCTGATTAAAGGAGTAAATCCCAAGAACCTCCTGGTTCTATCAGTTCTTTCCAATATACTTTCGAATTCTTCTTGCCCAGTTAAAAACAAATGTTCCTTAAATATTTGTATTTTGAAACTTTTCTTTTTCAAGGAAAAAAATGAAATCATAGCTTGTGTATAAGACCCTTTCTTCCCCCAATTCTCAAACCCTCGCCCAGTGGTACCATTACAAGTTAACTTTGGTTTGATTCTGCAGGTATATAACAGAGTTTGTAAACCTAGGCAATGTTTCAGCTCTACGCACTTTCAGGGTACTGAGGGCTTTGAAAACTATTTCGGTAATCCCAGGTAAGATGGTCCGGGGTTGGTGTTAGGTGTTGGGATAGGGCCCTGACGTGACGTATTGTACTTTTTGTTTTGTTGTGGTTTTGTTTTTTCCTTTGGTGTTTGTGTTTGTGTCTGTGTTTGTCACTTGTGTCTGTGTGTGACCTCCCTTACTACAGATATGTGACAGAGTTTGTGGACCTGGGCAATGTCTCAGCGCTGAGAACATTCAGGGTTCTCCGAGCTTTGAAAACTATCTCTGTAATTCCAGGTGAGAAAATTTGTACATAAGACTGACTTTACCACATCTCCTCTTTCTCCTCCATTCATTTTGTCCACCATTCTAAAGCAGCATCACTAGAGTTGATAATGGCCTTGCATTCTGCATGTTTTTCCTGGGAGACATTCTCTGGAATGGCCGTTGGGTCCTCAGGCAGTTTTCTCTGAGTGCTTGCCAGGCATGCAACCCCCATTCCATCCATGCTTTTGAAAAAGCACGTGCTTAAGAATCACTTGGATCTCACTATTTGAAAAAACTGTCACAGAGCTAGCTGTCTCTTTGTATATAAATCATTTGCTTCCTGGCTCCATGGAATTACAGTAATTTTGACATTTGCTGTCATTTCATTGCTTGTGATTTCTAGGCTTCCTATCGCATGGTTTGCTGATGGGACATTATTCAAAGAATTATACATTTACTATTACTGTATTAATGAAATTTTTTAATCACAGAAGAGATCGCCCCAATTAACTAATGCAGTATAAGAGACAAATTTAAGAGACTTGGAGTTAGTGAACCGCACTTAAATAATCACTGTCTATCATGTTCTACTGCTATCTGTCTCACTAGAATAAGAACCAGTAGACATCTTCTGTACATATTCAGGGCTCATTCTCAAACATAAATCCCAATGAAAGCTTATGCAGGCACTGTTAAAAAAAATCAAAGGTAAGATAAGATACAACTAAAGGTATGGGCAACGAAAAGTACAGAAGTTTAAGGGGAAAAAACAGAATCTGTGGATGGGTTGAGAGTGGATTGACAGTCTCTTTAAAATTTTTGCCTTTTTCTTTTTGGTTCTGGTTGAGCTAGCCCAGTGGTTCTTAACCTTTTGAAGGTGTTAGATCCCTTTGAGAATCAGATGAAAGTTCACAGACCCTCCCCCACCGAAGCCCATCCATGGACCCCAGGTTAAGATTCCTTAATTTAATTTAAATCATTGGTACTGGATAATACTTATCTTTCTAAAGACCAGCCTTGAAATCTTAAAGGAAAGCTATTTTAGTTAGTATTGTGAGCCTAAGATATACTGGCAGTAACTTGGCAGAGGTGAAGACTGTGTTGTTGCTCTTTGGACTTTAGTTGTGTTTATGGGTTTTCAAGGAAGACTCCGTAGAGACCAGGCTTTCCACAGCAGTTTTGTAGAAATAGGAATGTGGAGAAAGAACAGAGGCATCCTATTCTTATCCTATCCTATCACATGGCTCTTCCCCTTGTGGCTGACTCAGAAATATCTCTTTTTTAAAATTTATTTTCTAGACACAGGGTCTCACTCTGTTGCCCAGGCTGGAGTGGTATGATGATGGCTCACTGTAGCCTCCACTTCCAGGGACCAAGTGATCCTTCCTTCTCAGCCTTCCAAGTAGTTGGGACCACAGGTGCATGCCACCACACCCAGCTCATTAAAAAAAAAAATTTTTTTTTTGTAGCGACAGGGTCGCCCTATGTGTTGCCCAGGTTGGCTGCCAACTCCTGGACTCAAGCAGTCTTCCTGCGTCAGCTTCCCACAGTGCTGGGATTACAGGCATGAGCCACTGTATCTGGCCCAGAAATATTTCTTTTTCCCCTTTTTAACATTTATCTCAATAGCAGATAGAGAGGGAGGCACAAAGATAGAATCCTGGAGAGGGCAGACTTGGAATGTGGTTTACTGAGAACCTCAAAGAAGGTAAATTCATCTTCACCACTTACAAATTTGTGCCATGGAGTTGGCCAGTAAATTAGTGCCCTACCAAAGATGAATTCCTTTATTTTTAGCGATGGTAGCTGACTCCCTATCAACCAAAAGCTGGGTGTCAGTTGGAGTATATACTTCTTGGCAAAAAAACTACAACCCTAATCTACCAAGATTTAGTTCCTAGCCATTTTATATCTGCTTAACAGAAAGCCCAGCTCATTCTCCAGACAGCCTGAGATAGCTCATTGATGGTGGCCTAATCCTTAGGCAAGCCGTGTCTTATTTTTTGAGGCACTGGAGTGCCAAATCTTTACTTTCATTTTTCCTATGGTCTCTCTCCTCCTCTGGCCCCTTTTAAATATGATCTTGTGTTTTCTGCTCACTTCCCCCAGCGTACTCTGCAAGGCATCTGTCTCTTTATGTTCTTGTGATCTCAAAACTTCTCTCCCAGAATTAAATTGGAAAGCTGTATTCTGTTCACTAACTAGGGCAGCAGATGCTATCTCTAGTCTAGCTTATAGCTTCTGTCTCTGTCTTTGCTATATTGTTAACTTTTGACCATGGCATTTCTGCAAGATAACTCTTGATTGGTGTCACATTATTTATTCTTTATATATATCCTCAATATGTTACGTTATTTATCCTTTATATATATCTGGAATATATGCAGTATCTAACACCATGCTGGGCCCATAGTAGTGCTCCATAAATGATTGTAGTAGCAGCAGTTATTATTATAAAGAAGAAACCTAAGCCAATAGAAAGGGTTTGTATCAAGATTTAGACATCAGCTTCACAGTTTGAAATAGAGTCCCAGATTCCTATTTCTAGAAGCACCCCCAATTGAGCTGGCTTTGGGAGGCTAACTGGGGTGGAAAATAACATTAAGGGATAGTAAAGCCAATAATAGATCACTGTCAGTAGCTGGTATATTTGGTTCTTGAATTAAAAGTGTGGCTCTCAATCTCAATCTTTTTGCTCCCGATTCTACCTTTTAGAGTTAGCAAGAGAAATCTGGTAATGCAGTTTCCCTCCTGGGGAGTTTTCTCTCATCCCATGGGAAATTCTGAAATTGCTGATTATGCTTTCTCCCATAGAGGGCTGTTGGTGCTATTCCTACCTGCCTGCTATGCAGTCTCCTTCCAAGGCAGGAGCACCAGTGTATGAGTGAGTGGATCTGGGCCATCTCTTGCTTGGGAGTCTAAGTCACTTTAATTCTTGTGTGGTAGAGCTGGCCCATGATTCCTCCTTATTATAAACCATTGTTTTGTATACCAACTTTTCTTGTGGATCACTTCAGTGGAATTTTTGTTCTCTTTGTCTTCTCCTCTTCCCAGTTTGGTTATAGGCTATTGCCAAGGGTGCCAAAAATAGAATGGAAGTGAGAGCGACCACTGACCTGGAGCCTGCAAGGTCTCACAAAGCTCCCCATGTATCAACTTCCTTTATGAGAGCTTTTCCTTTCCTAGAGCACTCACCCACCCTCAACCTGGGCTGATACTGTCCTTTCTCTTTGTGTCTTCGGTAGATATTCTGAGTATGTCAGGGCTGCTAGGACTCCTGAAGATTGGACAGTGAAGTGCATCAGTTAGCTCTGCCCTTTTTTGTAAGAAATGCTTTGCTTTAGAGCTTTCTTGTAGCTCGGAAAAGATGAAACCCACCTTCTGACCCTTTTTTCTTGCTAACTTGACTTGGGTACGTTGTTATTTATGCTTTGCGTTTTGCTTCAGAGGCATCAACTTGGAGAACAGTGTACACAAGCTCTGTGCTAAAAGGGTCAGTTACAGAGGAGACCTTTTCTAAATTTTCTTTAGTCTGGAATTTGTCAGGTTCACCTTGACATTGAAATATCCTGCCTAAAAGTTTATATGTCTTAAAACTTTGTTTTCACTTTGTGTTTGTCTGAGTCCCGCATTAAGTGAACTAAGTGACTCTGTCAGAAGTTTCGTCCTCTGCATGCTTTGATCATGTGCCACAGGGCTGACATGCCCAAAGAAAGGGTGGGAATCTTGAAAGAGTTTCTCAGGTTTTTCTTAGACAGCAGCATTTAATAGTATGAGTATTAATAGAACTGCTTGGGGGAAACTCACTTGTCAGTTCCTTTTCTTTTCTGTCATTTAAATGGCTCCCCCAAAGCACTGCTTATCTGCTGCTCATTAGCACTTATTTAATTTCATTCCACCTTCTTTAGAATTGTACTTTCTTGGTTATTTTTCTCTTGGCAATTTTATTTCTCAGCTTTCATTTCTGTTACTTTCACTCCTAACCAGTGGGATCAGACAGGAAGCAGGGAAAATGATAGGCCTTTCCTTTTCCCATTCCAGTGAAAGCATTTTCTTTAAACGTGTACTTTGTGAATGTGGCAATTTCTGCTGCATAATGATGGGAGATAGAAAGTGTTTTAAGACTATATCCTGACTCATTGTCTCTTTTAAACTGTTCTGGTTATTAATTCTATTGCCTTTGTATTTCTTCTTTTCCCACATTGCTTCTTAGGAAAGATAAAGTTTAACAGTGGTCATAAGTGAAAAAACACTAAATACTCGCAGGGTCCCTCTGACACATCTTTGAGAGCTAGTTTAGTTTTGGTCGCACTTTGTGATGTAAGTCAGGTCTCAAGTAAATAAATCTTAGCATCCCCCAATCTCTCTCAGATTACTGTTGCTCTAAAGAATCTTCAAGAACTATCACTGTAGGCTGGGTGCAGTGGTACACACCTATAGTCCCAGCTAATCAGGAGGCTGAGGCAGAGGATCACTTGAGCCCAGGAGTTCGAGGCCGCATTGAGCTATGGCCACACCTGTGAGTAGCCACTGTATTCCAACCTGGGCAGCATAGTGAGATCTTGTCTCTTAATAAATAAATAAATAGATAGATAGATATTATCGTGAGGATTGCAGTTGCAGTAGGAAAAGTCAACACAGCACCACTTTATTCCTACACTTTGTCTGAACCCAAGCCTGACGCTGGGAACAGGGCAGTTGTTCTTTCCCTGGGTTGAGAACTGCTTGTTACTGCTACTGAGGCCTGTTCCAATATTAACTTTGTAGGGGAATTAGCTTCACATTGCTTCAAACCACTTAAATTTCTCAACCTGAGCTACAAACTAGGGAATATGAATTAACTTTATTTATTTATTTTATTTATACATATATATTTTTTGAGACAGAGTTTCCACTGTTGTCGCCTAGCCTGGAGTACAACAGCCAGATCTCAGCTCACTACAACCCCCACCTCCTGGGCTCAAGCGATTCTCCTGCTTCAGCCTCCTGAGTAGCTAGGATTACAAGCATGCGCCACCACGCCCAGCTAA